TTTTCTTGGTTTTGAATGCTACTACACTCTCTTGAATTTTTGCCTCTCTACCTGGTGGGTATCTTTTTAGTCTCTTCTGCTAGCTGTTCCTATTCTCCTTGATTTACTAACTCTGGAAAGCTAAGGTCCAGTCCTTGATACCGTTCTTCCCTCTATCTATTCTGACTCAGTTGGTGAACTTACCCACTCGACACTTTAAAACTATCCATATGCCAGTGCCTGCCAAATTTATGTTTTTGGTCCAAGACTTCCTCCTAAACTCCAGATTCATGTCAACAACTGCCAGTTTGACATTTTGACTATGGTATGTGATAGACACCTCAAACTTAAGTGTCCAAAATGGAATTCCTGATTTTCTTCCTCAAATCTGTTTTATCTACAGATTCCTTTTACAGTTTATCCAAAGTTCATCCTCCCCCTGTTTGGGTAAAAATTGTGGTGTCATCCTTAAATTCTTTCCTTCTCTCACACCTCATATCTGATCCATAGTAAATCCTGTTGGCTCTACCTTCAACATTCATCCAGAATCCAAGTATGTTTTACCATTTCAAGGGCTACCACTGTGGTCAAAGCTACCAACCACCTCTCTCATTGCATTTCCTTCTAATTGCTTTTCTTGCTTCTAAACTTCTGTCCTCACAGTCTATTTTTTTAAAAGAAAGGGTCTTTACTGCCCAAACTGTTACTTAACTCCTAGACTCAAGTGATCCTCCTGCCTTGAGCCTCCTGCTTAGCTAGGATTACAGGCATGGGCTACCATGTCTGGCTCTATTCTCAACAGAGTAGCTAGAATGCTTTTAAAAAACCTTTTCCTATGGAAAAACCTACATAATAGAATAATATAATAAACTCTCTGTATACCCACCATCCAGCTTTAGTGGGTTTTGGTAGATGGCCATTCTTGTTTCATCTTCACCTCACAGTGCCCTGTTCTCTGTATTATTTTCATACCACAATATTATATCTAAAAAAGATAAATTGCTGGTATGATGGTATACAACTGCAATCTCAGCAACTCAGGAGGCTGCGGCAGGAGCATTGCAAGTTCAAGGCCAGCCTTGGCAACATAGCAAGACCTTGTCTCAAAATAACATAAAAAGGGTTGGGGATATTTACTCAGAGGTAAAACGCCTCTGAATTCAATCTCCAGTATTGAAAAAAACATGCTATCAATTGGCTGCTTAAAACCTGCCAATGAATCCCTCTTAACTCAGTGTAAGAGCTAAAGATTTATAAGGCTTCTGGAAGCCGTTACCAGGAGCTGGCAAACTACGTCCACAAACTAAATGCAGTTGGTCACTTGTTTTTTGTGCTCCACGAGCGAAGAATAGAAGGAATTTTTTTTCTTTTTTTTAAATCCAGAGAAGAAATTTTTCTTTGGTGTATTAGGGATTGAATTGAGGGTACTTTACCACTGAGTTACATCTCTGGTTCTTTATTTAATATATACTTTTTAGATGTTGATGGACCTTTATTTATTATTTATGTGTGGTACTGAGAATCGAACCCTGGTGCCTCACACATGCTAGGCAAGTGCTCTACTACTGAGCCACAACCCCAGCCAATCCTTTAATGATTTTAAAATATTTATTTTTTAGTTGTAGTTGGACACAACACCTTTATTTTATTTATTTATTTTTATGTGGTGCTGAGGATTGAACCCAGGGCCTCACAGGTGCTAGGAGAGCGCTCTACTGCTGAGCCACAACCGCAGCCCCAAGTCCTTTAATTAAAAAAAAATTGAGATAGGATCTTGCTAAGTTTCTCAGGCTGGCCTCAAACTTGTGATATTCTTGCTTCAGCTTCCCAAGTAGCTGGGATTATAGGCATGTACCATCATGCCCAGCAAAAGAACAATATAGGAAAAATGACATGTGAAACTTATATGAAATTTATTTTCAGAGTCTAAAAATGAAGTTTTATTGGGATATGGCCATGTTCTTTTCTTTAAGTATTGTCTATTGCTGTCTTCATGCTACAAAGGCAGTGTTTTAAGTAGTTGCAATCAAGATACATGGTTCACAAAGCCTAATGTATTTAGTATCTGGCCAATTGTAGCAAAAAATTGCCAACCTCTGCCATAATCAATCAGGCCCCTGAGTAATCCCTTTAACTTCCTCTTCCTACATACTCCATTCTCATCTCACTAGCCTCTTTTCAGTTGCTCAAATAGGCCAGACAATCCTATCTTATAGCCTTTCTAATGGCAGTTTCTTCTGCTTGGAACACTATTACCCTAAACATCTGCATAGCTCTTTCTTTTGCTTTTAAGCCTTGGATCAAACTGCCACTTACACAATGAATTCTACCCTGACCACTCTATTTAAACTTGTAACTCATGCTCCTTTCTCTATACTCCCTATCTTCTTACTGTACTCCACATTTTTTATTTCCATAGCATTTACCACCTTTGAATGTGCTATTAAATATCTACTGCTTATGCTGGGTATGGTGGCACATAATCCCAGCAACTCAGGAGGCTGTGACAGGAGGATGGCAAGTTCAAGGCCAGCCTTAGCAACTTAGCAAGACCATGTCTCAAAATAAAAAGTATAAAAAGGACTGGGGATACACCTTAGTGGTAAATTGCCCCTGGGTTTAATCCCCAGTACCTCAAAAATATATCTATTGATTATTATCTACTTCTCCCAGCTAAAAGTAAGTTCCATGGTATATGAATGATTCTTTGTTGGTTCACTGTCAGACTCAATGCCTTTATATAATTAGGTATAAATATATGTTGCTTTTCTTTTTTCAGTACAGGGGATTGAACCCAGGGCTTTATGCATGCTAGACAAGCACTCTATCACTACATGTTGAATAAATACAATTCCTTATAATCTAAAGTTTGGGTTGTAGATGCAGCTCAGTAGTAGAGCACTTGCCTACTAGCATGGATAAAGTCCTGGGTTCAATCCCAAGCACTGTAAAAAGAAAGCTTGAGTCTCAATGTGGTAAGATCTTTATAAAATGAAAAATTTGAATTCTAAGTCATGAAAATAAGATGACAAATTTTTTCCAGAATGTTATATCCATCTGTTCATCTATCATCTACTTATCAATCTAATATTTACTGTCTGTCTGCCTCGTCAGGGTGTGGGATCTAAAAATAAAAAAAATCTGAGCTAACAACTTATAGATGAATAACCATAACAGAAGGCAGAATGTAGTAATGCAGGGCTGTAATGCAAACCCAGGTCTGCTAACGTCAAGTCAATGCTTTATTTTGACACAGTCATGTTGTCAATAACTAACAATTATAAAAATAATTATTTGTGTTGCTGTGGATTGAACTCAGGGCTTTGTACATGCTAGGCAAGCACCCTACCACTGAACCAGCTCCTAAAGATAATTTTCTCAAAATAGTAAAAATAGAGTGAAAATGCAGGTTCCACAATAAAGAAAATTAGTAAATTACTGGATGGAAATTCAATGTCTTATAAAATGATTAAATAATAATTATGAAAACAGAAGATATTTCACTTGAAAAGTGGGAAAAAGTATGTATCACAAACTAATCTATGGTACAACAAAAGATGGATATATTTATTCAGTAAACACTAATCAATTGCTAACAGCACTATGCTCTGTGCCAGGGAAAATTCACAGAAGAATGATGCACAATCTTGGTCCTCAAGGAGAACCACATATGTGGATTAACCAGAAGAGAACTTAAACATAAACAGGTAGTATGTTAGGGCAGTAAATCCAAGGGAAACAGTTTTCCTTTATAATTGCTAAAGTGCTATAGTTAGGATAAATAAAACCAGCCCCAAAAGGTTTAAAAAGCAAGGGAAAGTATTTAATTATGTTAGATGATGAGCCTGAACCACATTGTCATGCCACACAGCAAGGAGTCTTATGAAATACCCAGAGCCACTGTCCTAAACTATGACATTATATGGCCCTTTTTCTGTGGAGCAAGTCAGCAGGCAAAGTGAACTCTAACCAGCCTGTAGCTCACTTTCAGGAGGTCTGAGAAGTGGAAGGCCAGTCTTTCCTTCCCTCTTGCCTGCTGAGCCACCTTACTGTGTCTGGAATAGAAAGTGAAATGCATTATGGAAATCGAGATTACAAAGAATAAACTTTTGTGCCTTTGCTGGATGTAACTGGCCTTTACCAGTTTTAGCTATGTGCCCACTCCAACTGCTGCTGCTGGGTATCACACCAGCTACTATTTCTACTTCTGCTTCAAGCAGCTAAGTTCTTGTGTGCCAAATATCCTAGAAAATCTTACTTGCATTACCACACACTATAAATGTGCCTACTACAATGATTTTCAAAACCACCAGAATTCATCCTTTCAAATACATTTCTCCCTACTAAAATGGCTACTTAGTCCAGCAACGGCCAACCGTCAAATCATCCTGGAGCTCAAGTCCATTTACAGTTAGTGGGTGAGCCACACAAGTATACAAGTTGCTTGTTTTAGAATTATAGCTTATTCCCACCCAGGATGCTGTCATTCAGCTTTAGAGCTCAGCTAATTCATCAGCTCTGACAGCAAAGGATGGAGAATATTTCTTTTTGAGACAGTCTCACCATGTTGCCCAGGCTGGCCTTGAACTCCTGGGCTCAAGTGATTCTCCTGCTTCAGTCTCATGAGTAGTTGGGAACCCGACATATACCACTGTACCCAGCAACCACTATGAATATTGAAAAAAAGCTGAACAGTCCAGAGGCCACATACAAAATGGGTCCAGAAATGGGTCTATAAAATGTCAGAGCCCTAGGAGTGAATAGGTGGCCTCTTGAGTGACTTTCTAGTTAATAGAACTCTTTTTTTAAATATTGATTTTTTAGTTGTAGTTGGACATAATACCTTTATTTTATTTATTTATTTTTTATGTGGTGCTGAGGATTGAACCCAGGGCCTCACACATGCTAGATGAGTGTTCTACTGCTCAGCCACAACTCCAGCCCAATAGAACTCTTTACTAGGAAAGTGTATCTGACCAATTTGATTTTAGCTCACTTCACCATTTTTCATGGGCACTTACCTGAATACAAGCTCCTATCTTCACTTTGCACAGATTGCAAACTAAGGCCCACCGGCTGGGTGGGATGTGGGAGATTTTTGTGATTGGTTCCATCCTCTCAGGACAAGCAATGCTGACCTAGAAACAAAATATCATCATAAGGCAGAAGCATCAGTGCATTTCAGAAGTACCTTTCACAAACCATAAATTATTTTTTTTTTCCTTTTGGGGTACTGGGGATTGAACCCAGGGGCACTTAACCACTGAACCACATCTCCAGCCCTGTTTTATATTTTATTTAAAGATAGGGTCTCAATGAGTTGCTTAGTGCCTTGTTTCTGCTGAGGCTGGCTTTGAACTCTTGATCCTCCTGCTTCAGCCTCCAGCCCACTGGGATTACAGGCATGTACCTCGATGCCCGGCTAAATTTTTAAATTTTGAGATAGGGTATTGCTAAATTGCTGAGGATGGCTTTGAACTTGCAATCCTCCTGCCTCGGCCTCCTGAATCACTGGGATTAAGGCATGCACTACCACATCTGGACAAATGATGTTATATAAAGCTCAGAACATCAAAACAATGAGGTAAGTCACATCTTTCAAGGTTAATACAGTACCCAAAATAAACTACATACTGCTCAGTCCTTTAATCTTTTCTAGTAATATAAATGATTCATATATAGGATGAGAGTGCAGGAGTGTAGAGCAGGGATGGTTATCTTAATGAATCAAAGATATCTACCTTTACTTAGGAACCAAAGAAAGCTACTAAGGAAGGAAATTAAAATTCACAATATCTAGCACCTGTTATATGCCAGAGATAATGGCATATGCCTCATTATTTCATTTCATCAAATAAGGGTAAAAACAGGCAGTGACAAATCTTTACATTTAGTTTACAGAAAGTACAATACTCTTGGAAAACACCAGCAGCATATTTATATAATGAAGAGATTGTAGCATGTAAGGAGAAAAGATGAGGATGATAACATTTCCAAACCAAAAGTCTTTTTTTTAATTGGTTGTTCAAAACATTACAAAGCTCTTGACATATCATATTTCATACATTAGATTCAAGTGGGTTATGAACTCCCATTTTTTCCCCAATTACAGATTGCAGAATCACATCACAAACCAAAAGTCTTTAAAACCACATAACTACCATCAGCTTACCCTACTTCCTCAGGCAAAGTACCTTGAAGTGAAATTAGTCTTTAGGAGAGTGCTGAAAGGAAAAGGATGAAAACATTCTTTTCATCATGAAAATAATGAGCCATGCAACTTCTGGTAAAAGGTATTTTCAATTTGTTTTACAAATACATGACTTTCTATGAGAGAAACAATTTTAAAAAGTGAAGAACTATCAAATAAAGATGGTCAAACTAGTACAAATTCTAACCACATCAGGAAACAGATTTGGAATACTCCAAAAGGCAATGGAAACCAAGAATGTTTGAAACCACAAGAGATGTTAACAGCTGACAAAGCTTATTGTACTTCTAAAGAACTCTTCCTGAGTCAGGAAGACTTTTATGAGCTAAGAGAGATGGGAGAACTGCTGTTGGAAACCAGACACTCAGGCCAGAAACCTGGGTTCATGTTACATGTCTATTAGCTGGATGTAATTATTATTATTATTAGGTACTAGGGACTGAACTCAGGGGCGCTTACCCACCAAGCCACATCCCCAGACTTTTTTTTTAAAATTGTTAATTTATTTATTTTTATGTGGTGCTGAGGATTGAACCCAGTGCCTCACTGTGCTAGGCAAAAGCTCTGCCACTGAGCCACAACCCCAGCCCTCTCCAGCCCTTTTTATTTTGAGACAGGGTCTCACTAAATTGTTTAGGACCTTGATAAAATGCTAAGGCTAACCTCAAACTTGTGATCCTCCTGCCTCAGCCTCCTGAATTTCTGGGATTATAGGTGTGTGCCACCATGATGGGCTAGCTGGATGTTCTTAATGAGAAAAAGAAACTGCTCCTCAAATATTTTTAAAAATATGTAGGCTCTGGGGCTGGGGTTGTGGCTCAGTGGTAGAGCACTCATCTGGCACATGCGAGGCCCTGGGTTAGATCCTTAGCACCACATAAAAATAAATAAACAAAATAAAGGTACTGTGTCCAACTACTTCTTAAAACTAAATATTTTTTAAAAAGTGTGGGCTGGGGTTGTGGATCAGTGGTACAGTGCTTGCCTAGCATGTGTGAGGCCCTGGGTTTGATCCTCAGCACAACATAAATAAATAAAGGTATTGTGTCCATCTATAACTAAAAAATATTAAAAAATGTGTATATCTATAAGAATACAAAATTATGTATCTAGGACTTTTAGGTTTAATTCTGTGGGCTTGATTATTAGATAGTAACTTTTCTGGAACCAATAACAACAAAATTAAATCCAGAGAAATTTTAAAGGAGAATCAAATACTAATAACAATATCATCAGTTTCCCATTAACTGAATTCCATCGTATCTTGTAATGCAGTTAATCTGCTTAACACATTTTCTGGCTTACATAGGGGTTGGGGTGAGAGAGTGTGAGTGAGATGTCCAAACAGCTTTTTTTTTTTTTTTAAAGGTATTTAGCCAGATGTGGTAGCGCACACCTGTAATACCAGTAGCTTAGGAGGCTGAGGCAGGTGGATCGTGAGTTCAAAGCCAGCCTCAGCAATGGCGAGGCCCTAAGCAACTCAGTGAGACCCTGTCTCTAAATAATACAAAATAGGGCTTGGGGGTGTGGCTCAGTGGTTGAGTGACCCTGAATTCAATCCCTGGTACCAAAAAAAAAAAAAAAAAAAAAAAAAGCAGTGCAGTGCTATGACACATGCCTATAATCCCAGCAACTTGGCAGGAGGATCACAAGTTTGAGGCCAACTTTGGCAACTTAACAAGACACATTTGAGGCCAACTTTGGTAACTTAACAAGACCTCATCTCAAAATAAAAAATAAAGCCAAGCATGGTGGTGCACATGTATAATCTCAGTAGCTCAGGAGGCTGAGGAAGGAGGATTGCAAGTTCAAAGCCAGCCTCAGCAACTTAGCAAGGCCGTAAGCAACAAGACCCTGTCTCAAAATAAAAAGTAATTAATGGGCTGAGGATGTGGCTCAGTGGTTAAGTGCCCCTGGCTTCAATCCCTGGTGCCAAAACAAACAAACAAACAAATAAATAAATAAATAGATAGGGCTGGGGTTGTAGCTCGGTGATAGAACACACCCGTATCCAAGAAGAATCCCACATAGTGGAAGCATTATTACTTCAGAAACATTGGCAAATATGAAGCTTTCCACTGTAAACCTGTGTCAGTCTAAATGCTGTGGGAACGGGCTGGATGTGGGGTACCCTGAAGAAAATGGCTTCAGTGTTAGATTTCTCACCTCTGGAATCCACAGGGCACAGCTAACATGAGCCCATTTAGTCCCTGTTCTGGTGGTCTTCATGGCTCCACCTTTCTTTGGACATAGAAGACACTGTGGATGAATGCCCAGGACACAGGAGCGACACAGCCAGCTGCCTTCTGGGACCTTGAGGATGCCATAGCAGGCCTGGAGGCATGAGGAGGAGAGGAAGAATGGTTAGCATCTTTGTACCAGGGTCCATGTCTATTCTACCACACAGTCAAGTATACCCTCTGCTTTTGGGAGAAAGTCAAGTATACCCTCTGCTTTTGGGAGAAAGTCAAATAAAGCCAAATAAGTTTAAATCCAGGATTGAGAGATTTAAAAACACTCAAAAAGGCAAATTCCAGTATCTGAACTAAGATCAGTATGTCTGACCAAGAGAACTGAATTTAAGGATGATAGAATAAGACTAGGAGAATATACTCCCAAAGGCTAGACCAATCTGTTATCTGAGGGTTGGGAATATAGATTTTTTTTTGCCTCTGTTTTCTAAAGCTTCTTCAGTGTTTATGTATTTTGATTAGCCAAATACTTATTGAATATACTCTACATATCATGCACCATTGTGATCAAGAAAAAAACTGTTAGGAAATAAACAAACTTCTGAAGAGTAAATAAACTAATGTTAATCAAGAATCTAATAGTGTCTGGTATATAAAAAGCACTCAGCAAATCATAGTAATTTGCATGGGTTCAAAAAATAGGACTTGTATTCTTTAAGAATTAAAAAGCCATGTTGGGTAAGTACATGTGGAAAGGGACTGCAGGTGTCCTTTAGGACCTACCAGAAACCTCAAGGATCTGAGAATAGCTGCCTGTTGACAGCTAGTGAAAAGTTAGGGCCTTAAATCATACAAAGAAATGAATTCTGCCAACAGCTTGCCTGAATTTGGAAACGAATTTGCCCCTAGTAGAGCCTCCAGATAAGAGCTCAGTCCGGCTGACACCTTGACTACACCCTTGCAGCTCTGAGCAGAGGACCTGCCTAAGCTGTGTACAGATTCCTGACCCATGGGCACTGTGATAAATAAATGTATGTTGTGTACTTGCTAAATATGTAGTGATTTATTATTCAGCAATGAAAAAAATGGGACTTTGAATGAATTTTGTATAGACTATTACAGTAATCAAAATCATCTATTATAAGTTCTGGAAGCTGCTTCGAATCATTTATGAAATGAATTCAGAAAAATAAATAAATGAATAACTGGTATGGTAGAAGATTAGTTTGGAAAATATTCTAGATTTCTTTTTTTCTATCTCCAGAATCATTCATCTTTTCCTTCTTCCTGCTTTACTCACTATTTGAAACTAAACCTAGGGGACACCTGGTTCTCCATGTGGCTTGGTATACCTTTCATCATTGTCCTTTTCAATATGGTAGCTTCAAAATCTCTTTAGGCCCCAGGAGATGAAGCTTCAGGTCAGATTCAAGTTATAAATTTACCATCATATCTTCACTCACCCCTAAACCTGCTCCTTTCCCAAACTCTTTCTTTCTATATCCTGTTGTGCTTCCCCAAATTCCTGGAGTTGTGTTACCCACTTGCCTTCATGGATTGGATTTGATGCTTCTTATTCCTCCCTACAGAGTAGCCTAGATATTCTGCCCTTCCTTCCTCTCCACACCTCCACCACACTATTACTCTATCCAAGTTCTCATCACACCATGCCTGGATTGATTTACTTCTAAATTTTCTTCTTTTGTGTTCTTACATTCAACCCTTCTGCTATTTGGCTCCCAAATGCTTTCTGTTAAAACAAATATTTCATGCACAGAGGCAAACCTCCCAGGATTTCTTCTGCTCTTACCTGCCCCTTACTTATATGAGGAGTTGGCTACTATCTGAAGTGTGTTTTGTAAGGCCAACAAGCTAAGAGTTTTTTTTTTTTTTTTCACATTTTGATGGGGTTGTAAGAAGAAGAAAAAGAACACTATGGAGTAGAGACTTTATGTGATTGGCAAAGTCTAAAATAATTACTATCTGATCCTTTAAAGAAAAATTTGCTGGCCCTTGACCTAAAGCTTGTGGCTAGTCAACACCTCACTTTTTGTTCCCATATTCCACCACATCCAAACATAGTATCCCTGACTTAGACAGGAAGGCCTCTTACATTTTCAGCCATTCTAATTCTCATGTCCATGTGTCTGTCTAGGCAGTTCCCTGCTTTATACGGTCAACCCCTCTTTGCACAGTCAGATCTTTTGCCTCAGACTCTAGGCCCCTCCAAAAACCCTGCTCAGGTCATGGTAGCCCCTTTTGTTTGTTCCACTGCCTTACACTCATTCTCTACTCCATGAAATTTCCCTCAACAAGTATACAGTAAGCATCATGTATTCTTTTTCTTCATTTTTTGTTGTCATGCTCTGTCTCCTCGGTGAGCCATTAAGGTCACTGGGGGTTGTTTTCATCATCATTTACCTTTAATGCACCCAAGCTGAGCTCAAGTAGGTGGTTTGGTAGAATGAATTAACTTAGCTCAAGAACTCAAGCTGGACTCCAAATAGGCTGTTCTCATGACATTGGGGCATCATTTTTATAAGGTTCTTAACCTCTGAAGCTCTGCTCTAAACTGAGGAACAGAATGTTTGCCAGGAAATGAAAGCAAGCTTCTTATCTAAAATAGAGCCTCTTTCAGAATGGCAGAAGAGAAGCTAGTGGCTGCTTCTAAGAATGCCCTTTCTTTTGCCAATCTTCTATTGGGCAGAATGAGCCCTTTGTACAATTATTTACGGCCATAATTTTATAAAAGCTTGCATTTCATAGCAGTGACTCTTAACCTGTTATGGACCATAAAATGAATAAGCTTGTGAAGTTTGAGAAATAACATTCATTACATTTTACATAAAATTTCAGGGGTCAATAAACTCAGTGTCAAGTTATTATATTCATGACAGAAATAAAAACCTTAAGAGCATGCACATTAGGCAAATTAACTGATATTAATATGAGTGTTCTACATTTTGGCTAAGAAGCAGAAAATGGGTACACACACAGGGATTTGGAATGGTCAATTTTCACATTTTTCTATAGAAAAAAAATGTTAAACTCTAAAGTCTACTGATACACATTTTAAGGTACTGAACATGAGTATATTTTTGTCACTGAGGAAAAATACTGGACACAAAGTAAACAAGAAAAATTATGTTTAATAAATTCAGATGTCAATGTGTTTCCATTCTGTTAAGGAGTATATCGAACTTTCCAAATCATTTTAAATCATTTTTTGGCCAACAGAGGGAGCTCTAACATAAGCAGCTCTTTTGGATCCAAGTGAATGTACTCTGGAAGAATATGAAGCTTTAAATATATTCCAAATTCCCAGCATCCCCCCCCTTTTTTTTGGTACCAGAGATTGAACCCAGGGGTGCTTAACCACTGAATCACATCTCTAGACCTTTTTATTTTTAATTTTGAGACAGGGTCTCACTAAATTGCTTAGGGCCTCACTAAATTGCCAAGGCTGGCCTCAAACTTGCAATCCTCCTGTCAGCCTCTGGAGCCACTGGGATTATGGGAATGCACTACCATGTCTGGAAAATTCCCAGATTTAGTACATATCAGTTTATATTATCAGTTTATATTCTGCAAGGCCTCGCCAGCTGCTATTGTCATCTCTATGTGAAGAAGGGACATCATTTATAGTCATTACTAGATGTATTTTCAAAACAAATGACTTGCTTTTGGGACAATTATTATGCTACTTTTAATTCTGTTAGTTAACCTGAAAATAATTCCTTAATATTTTGTCATCATTGCAAAGGATAAATATAGAAAACATATACAGATGACCTTTATCCTGTTCCCTTTAAGTCTACTAAAAATCCATGATCATTTATCTGAAACCTGTACAGTGAGAAACATTAGGAAATTCAGAATTGTTTTGGTCTAAAGAAGTAATATAGTATATACATGGTATACTACCTAACTGTAGTGGGACCAAAAGCACCACTGTATAATTGAATGTTAATGTATCTCTAACAAAGTATATGATTATTTGCACAAAATAAATAAAGACTGTAAATGGCCTCATATTGGGTGAATTCTGGTATTGTCCCCAAATCTGTTTTAGAGCACAACTTCAGCAAAAAGTGCACTTTTCAGAGCTTTATAATTTTGGAATTGCAGAGAAGGGACAGCAATACATTAAGATCAGAGTTAAATTATATTTTTTTCTCTCACTGAAAATATTGCATAAATGCCAATCATTAGGGGAATGAAGATAAAATTTCAAAATTCACTATTTTAGAGGTTACAGGTAAATGAAAACAGACTAAATTGGTCATTGAAAATTCAGAGTATATTTTACATACAGAGGGTTATGTTTGGTGGCCCATAGAATTAAAACAAAGTCTTTTTTTTTTTGATATTGGGGATTGAACCTAGGGGTTCTTTACCACTGAGCTACATCTCCAGCCCTTTCTATTTTGAGATAGGGTCTTGTTAAGTTGCTGAGGATGGCCTTGAACTTGTGATCCTCCTGCCTCAGCCTCCAGAATTGCTGGGATCACAGGCATAGATCATCACACCTGGCAAAAACAAAGTCTTAAGCCCTATTTGCTCTCTATCTCTTATGTTACTTGGTCTAATCATTTTAGTTATTTTAGCCAGAATGATCTCTTCAAAATGCAAATCATTTCCTTCAGAGTTGACAGGAAAAAACAATAATTCCTCAATTTGTCACAAGGTCCTTCACATGTGTCTCCTTCTCTTCCCTCAGTCTCCAGGCCTTCTCTACTCCATTCTGTAGTTCTGATGTACTCAGAACCGTCTCCAATACACTTTGCTTACTCTCACTACCTGCTCTATGTTCTCCTCTCTTCCTTGCTGGTTTATCTGACATCTCCTTTTGGCCATTATAATTCAGCATGAATGCCACCCTCAAGTTGTCCTTGACTCCTATCCCCACTTTGCATTTTCACAGTAGCATGGACTTATATCTTTAAAAACACTTGGTATACTATGCTAAATTGGCGGTTTCCTTGTAGTTCTTACGCCAGACTATGATATTCCTGGGAGTAGAGAGCATATCTGCCTCTTTATCACTGACTGTGTCCTCTGCACACAGCACAGTCCTGGCACATGGATGGTGCTGAGCACTTACAGTGTTTGCTAGATGAATTACATTTTGGGAGATATGTAGATTTTTGATAGCTGGAGATGGGAGAAGACATTTTTAAATTGTGACATGACTGAAACATGGAGACAGGACAGTGCCAGCAATATTCATCATTGTACTTTGAGTAGCCTTATTTTGCTGGAGCACTGAGCTTGTGGAGGCAGGAGAAAGGACAGAGCTGAAAGGAGTGTTTTTTTTTTTAAGAGAGAGAGAGAGAGAAAATTTTTAATATTTATTTTTCAGTTTTCGGCGGACACAACATCTTTGTTTGTATGTGGTGCTGAGGATCGAACCCAGGCCGCACGTATGCCAGGCGAGCGCGCTACCGCTTGAGCCACATCACCAGCCCAAGGAGTGTTTTTTTTTAAAAATATTTTTTAGTTGTAGTTGGACACAATATCTTTATTTTATTTATTTATTTGTATGTGGTGCTCAGGATCGAACCCAGGGCCTCACATGTGCTAGGCAAGCGCTCTACCGCTGAGCCACAAACCCAGCCCCTGAAAGGAGTGTTGATAATCATTAATTAAGAGGTCAGTGTGGTAGAATGAATGACCAAAAAATAGCTTAGGTAAAGTCACTTAACCTCTCCTGATATTGTGTGTAAGTTAAAAAGTTAAATAGCCCTTCAGAGTCCTAAAATTCTGTGATCTCTAAAAGTGAGGTGGACCTAGCTTCCTGGGAGTAGTACATTTGGGGATAGGGAGGGCCTTGGGTACTAGGATGAGGAGTCCAGCATTCCACCTATAAGAAGTATAAACTCACTGAGGTTACTGACCATGGGTGTAACCTGGTGATGTTGTAGGAGAGAGAGACTCCCAGGCAGCCGGCATGGGAACCCCCTGCGGGAAATGAATAAGGCAATTCCAATGGTCTGAGCATGAAGTAACATAATAAAAGACCTGGATTTAGCTTCCTGGGGTAAGCTTGATAATTTAGACATCTCAGGTATCACAAGAAGTATTGTTCTGGAAGAAATACTGAAGAACAGTCAGGCCAAAGTCTTATTTTCACTATTAAATGCAAGGTGCTACCCAGATATGGGGGTGTTTGAGATCATTACTAAGTTTTAGAAATGCTGACCGTGGGAAGGTGGCAGTTTCCACTCTCACTAACCTGATGCACACAGATGTTACACTTATCACAGAATACCATATCATTCCCTTCTTCACTGTCTGGAGACCGGCACACATCACAGATCACATCTTCATCATACTCTATGCCTAGCCCTTCCTCTGTCTCAATAGCATGGTTCATATTTTCATGGCAATGGCGTTCCAGGACTTCTACTGTCTTTTCCATAAGGGTCTCATCAACTGGCCCATAACCTGCACAGAAATACAAACAATCAATCAACCTGTCAGTCAGCTGTCATTCCCAAATAAGCTACTGTGAGCCCAGTGCAAGGGTGAGTAGAATTCTAGAGGATAAAACAATGTTTTTTTCCCTGTTCTAAAAAAACTCCAAATTTAAAGAATCTTGTTCTCGAGCTATTCTAACATTTACCTACAAATACATATTAGTGTTTGATGCATGAAAGGAATAATACATTTTACCATATTTCTTAGAAGTTTACGGGTTCTTTGATTTTTTTTTTTGTTTAAATCCTAGTTAGTCTCCTCCTAAATCTCTATTTTCCCTTATTCCCAAGCTTGGTAATTTTGAACACTTTAATTTGTAGTGTAATACAATAACTAAATCACATGACAATTCAGACATAAATAGTTCTTAGCAACCTAGCTTCAATAAGCTTATCTAATGGTCATATAAGGAAGTTTTCAATTTTAAGCCATAAAAGGAAGGTATAGATACTATGTGTACATGATTAAACATATAAAATATTTTGTTTTTGAAGCCTGACTTTTATAAAATTCAATACCACTTTCAATAGCAAACTAATATAAATCTATTAGCATTCATAAAGGTCTGACTGCAATTCTAAAATTACCTTTTTGTTTCTTGATTCCTTTTTTCTTCTATACTTTTATTTTCTCTTAGCCTTCCACATTTAACTAAAGGATTCATATGGCAGATGTTGGTAACAACTAAACATTTTTCTTCTTAGAAGGATTAATGATTTTGTGAAAGCACATATATATTTATTCAAAACAGCTTGTAAACTCAGGAGTAATTCTCAAAATGATCCAAGACAAAATATTCAAGAATTCTACTTCATTTGTAATGTAAGACATTCTAAAGATCTTTGGAATTCCTTACAAACTACTTTTAATGTAGCTACTTTTGAAACAAAAAATTACCCAGGCCTTATGTTTCATTTTTCCAGCCAAGTCTCTCTCTATATATATATACACATATGTATACATGTCTCTCTCTATATATATACACATATATATACATATTTATATATGTAATATATGTATAAATAATAATCTGATTAAGAGAACTTGGATTTCAACTTTACTTAATATTAGCTATGTAAACTTTGACAAGTCATTTATTCTCTTTAGGGCTTAGTGTTCTTATCTACAAAGTAAGGATAAAATAACAAATTCACTGATTTGTTGAGGATAAAATAATATTCATACATTGCACAGTGTGGGGTGCCAGTATATAGTGAGCACTGAATTTATAAAATTTCTTTTTTTCCTTTCTTTCTTTTTTGGTACTGGGCATTAAACTTGGAGGTGCTTTACCACTGAGCTACATCTCCAGCCATTTTTAATTTTTTATTTTGAGACAAGGTCTTGCTAAATTGCTGAGGTTGTCCTTGAACTTCCCATCTTCCTGTGTCAATCTCCTGAGTCACTGGGATTATAGGTGTGTTCCACAATTCCCAGTTGCCTAAAACTTCCTTAATCTAAGCCTCCAAATACTTAATTTAAAATTGTTTCTATAAAGTTTATTTTAAGCTCCTAGAAGTGTCATTACGATGTCATTCACCCTAAAGGAAAACTTGAGATAAGGCAAGTCCTATTTCAAAACTATTCTAAGCCTAAATGCAATGTGGTATCCTGAATGGGATCGGGAACAGAAAATGGCCAGGAGTAGGAAAAAAACCTGTGAAATCCCAATAAAGTCTGGAATTTAATAACAGTAATATGCCTGTGTTGATTTCTTAGTTTTGACAAATGTACCATGGCAAAGTAAGATGCTAACATTAGGGAACTGAAATTGTGTGAGGTGTACATGGGAACTTTCTAAACTGATTTTCTGAAAATCAAACTATTCAAAAATAAAAAGTTTATTTAAAATGAGTTAGTTATAAAAAGTATCAAAGGGTCCTTGTCATAGGTGGTTTCATAGGCAGCACTAAGTGATTGCATTATCTATGATGCTACATGTTTTACATGTAACACCATGCACTAAGCCATCAGTTTACTTGATTATGTCCTCATACTCTGATGTTCCATCTGTCAGTCTTTTATTCCCTTCCCTTTGTGGTTACCACCCTAAATTGACCAGCCCCTCTCCTCTTACAGGGGATAGTAAGAGAAGATATAAATCAACAAGTTTAAAAATGCAAGGAATGAGAATTGGTTACTGGCAGAATAACTACTATCACCATGCCAAACTGGATTTAATATAATTTTATTTTTTTTCACTTGCATTTAAATACCAGCCTCAAAAGAAAGAAAAAAAAAAGAGAGGAGGAAGAAAAACCATTTATCCTCGAATTGACAATAAACAAATGTGATTCAAACAAAAATGAAATCAAATGCATTCTTTATCATATCTCATATGGAGACTTAAAAATCACCTACAGTTCCACAGGAAAACTTGACCTACACTCTGCTTAGACTGAAACAGGTGAACAAAAGGTTTAAGTGTGAAGTGAGTCTCATTTCAGCCTAGCATTTCCCAGCACTGATTATATGGTACTGTCTGGTAACATTTACTTTCAAATTATTGTTATGCTTCTTTCCAAATTTTTGTTTGTTTTAATAAATATAGTAAAATGTTTATTTCATTTATAAAAAATTGTATGGTAACTCCAGAACTCAATGGAGGAAACTAAGAGCTGCTTGGAAGATGTTTCTCCCTAGATCTTCCATTTTTCTTTTGGGCAGCAAAATTATAAGTCTAGCACTAAGGGGTACTGTTCATAGCAATCAATTAGTTGTAATGGTGGTGCTCAATGCTAAAGTTGGAACTTCTCTCAAACACCTGGCACATGTATCTTTATACCTGACCCTGCTCACCGATCAGAGTACTTTCCAGGGCCAACGCAGGAGCTCAGAATCCTTCTTAACCAAAGTCTGATCAGCCATGACCACAGTCACACTTGGCACTGGGAAACAATCTCTAAACCTATATGCCATCCTTGACCTGTGTTATTTACCTTGAATGAGGAAAGAAAAGGTCAGATTTAAATGTCATTGCTGTTTCAATACATTTATGCATTTGAAGACATACCTCATAAAGTAAGATCAAAGAAAAAAAAAGGCCAGAAAAGAAAGAAAGGGAACAAGATGAAACCAAGTTAAAGGGTTGTAACAACTTAAAAAAACTCATGAGTTGAATCAAAGAACAATTACTTGTGAGAAAATAACTTACCCATTTCTACGAGGTCTTCATTGAGTTCCTGAAGCCAGAAGATGTCCATGTCATCTAGGTCATAGCGGCATGTAGATGCTGCCAACTCCAGAATGTTGATGTAGCCAGGCTCTGTAGTCTCTGGGCTGGAGCAACGGATGTACTTTCGGGGTCGAACAAAGAGAACCTCTTTTGCTTTCTCAGATATAACCCTAGAAAAGCAAGAGGAAGACACTGGTTGATCAATAGATGACAGGTTCCAGGCACTGACTGGATGAGTACAATAATACTTAGGCCATGACAGTGGAGCTAGATGCTCTCCCTTTTCTTCCATTCCCTGCTTTGCCCTCTGAGAGATAGGGCAGATTCCTTTCTAGGAAGCAAATGGTTCTGCAAATTGAGTTTTGTCATCTGCTGTGAAACACTGATACTTTAATGATATTAATGACATAAATAAGAAGTTTAAACCCTCATTTCTAGAACTATAGGATTTGAACCTAATTCAAGAATTCAAAATTGATAAGCATCATTCATCCTCATGGATCCTGGGACCTGACAAGCATTCATCCTAATAAAATGTTGTTGCATTATTGTGTGTTCTTGGTACAGTAGTCACCAAATGTAATTAAAAGGGGAAAACTGAGAGATGGTGATATCTGCATAAAGGCACAGCTAGATCCCCAACCAAAGATATAGTTCAGTCAAATTCCTGATTTTCTACCACGGAAACAATACTGGATGGTGGTACAGAGCATGGACTTTAGATTCTCATGGGCCTATTTTTTCTGCCATTCACTTGTATGGTGATCTTGGGCAATTGATTTGCATAAGGCTCAGCTTTCTTAGCTAATAGGTAGGGATAAGAATGATAAATTATGATAAAAATAATAATAAATACCAAACTTGTATTGGTTATTATAATTATATGAAATAAAGTGTTTGGCATAGTGTATAGTAAAAACTTAGTGTTCAATAATGTCAGTAATTATTATATTTATTATTTTCACTACACAAATGAGTTAAGTCAAGAGGCTATGGAGTTATAAAAACTGAAAGTATTTCACAACCATAAACAGCAACCATTAAGTCTGAGCTAGGGTAACATAATGGAATGAAAAATTCCTACTCTTACATCAACTTGCAGGCCTGAGCAAACACATACTTCCTCTTACCCTTCTTGACACTCAAAAGCCAAAGGAAACCAAACAAGGGAAAAATGGAAGTTTTTTTTTTGTGTCAACAACTTATTCTATAATTGATGGTTTAAATACCATGTGAGGCATTAGAAAATATAACCAGGAGGAAATATGGATTATTAAATTCCTGGCAACTTTTTTTTTCTGGTACTAAGGATTGAACCCAGGAGCACTCTAAGTCCCTAGCCCCCTTTTTTGGTAATCTTTACTATTTATTTATTTATACAGAGCCCTTCAATAGTTTGAATTACACAAATTGAATTTTTTCTGAAATTATAAATATGCTTTAGCAGTGGTGATTTTGATTTAAACTTTGTACATGTGAACATTATGGTTCAGGAGCACACAGAGAGGAAGCATTGTATAAAGAAATGAGCATACTGTGCAATCTTTTAGGGTTTTTTTTTTTAACCATACGATTTATTTTTATTTTTTTTAGTCATACATAACAGCAGAGTGTATTTTGACATATAATACATACATGGAATGTACATACATCAATCATAATGTCTATTTTATTCTGCTGCCCTTCCTATCCCCCCTACTCCTCCCCTCCTCTCCCATCCTTTTTCTCTATCCAATCTAATGTGACACACTTGTTTTTCTTTTTCTCATCACAACATCATATATGTATTCTGTATAACAATGCCTAGCCCTTTTTAAAAAAAAAATATTTTGAGACAGGGTCTTGCCACATTGCTGAGGCTAGTCAAACTCTTGATCCTCCAGCCTCAGTTTCCTGGGTTGGTGGGATTACAGGCCTGCACCACTGCACCCAGTAATCCCTGTTAATTTTAAAGAACAGGGTGGGTTATCTTAAAACAAACAAACAAACAAACAAACAAAAATCCCCCAGAAATAGGCATAGAGGTCATTATAAAATAACGAAAATTATTTCTCTGGAAGACTTCTGAACCTAGTTCTACTCTGGAGTCATTTATTTGTAGAAGGATTCATAAACATAAACATAATCCTAAGAATACACATAAATATATATAGGCATAGTCCACCCTATAAATATTGAATTGATATTTCCTTTGAAACATTCTTCCAAAAGCCTATTATTCCAATTAATGTTATCTTGAATGGTGTAAATAATTATACACATTTGTATATTTTAATTTTACTACCATATAAAGTTTTTTTTTAAAGCTAAAGGCAACAAATATTTGGGAACAAATGAAGAAACCTCAAATACTGACTAAAGCTAAAAATTTGAAACTGCTATCAAAGGTCTGTTTCTAACGGAAATGAACACAACTGAAAAGGACAAGACACAAATGAATTCTCCAGAAACTATGAGATTAAATATGCAGTGCTTCTTTGGTACATAGCTTACAAAGTAATAATATCCAAATTTGTTTCAAGATTTGTCTTTTTCTAAAAAAGAAGACTATTCATAGCTAATGATTTGTTTAAATTGTCTCAAGTTGTACATGGGAAAGGTAGACTATAAATGGTTTTGAATTAAACTAATGTGTTTATGAAGTTCCTGGAAAAAAATCAAAGGAGAATATATTTATGACCTTGGGGTAGGCAAAAATATTTTAAATAAAACGCAAATGCCATTAACCACAAAAGAAGAGACTGAGCTGGCACGGTGGCACACACCTGTAATCTCAATGGCTCTGGTGGCTAAGGCAGGAGGATCTCCAGTTCAAAGCCAGTCTCAGCAACTTAGTGAGGCACTATGAAACTCAGTGAGACCCCGTCTCTAAATAAAATACAAAACAGGACTTGGGATGTGACTCAGTGGTTGAGTGCCCCTAAATTCAATCCCTGGTACCCCCTCCCCCCAAAAAACGAAGAGATTAAAAAAATAAACTTCTTCTGGTTATCAAAAGACATAATTAAGAGGGGGAAAAGGCAATTCATGGAACAGACAATATTTATAATTACATAGACAAAAGAGGACTTATATCTACAATGTATGTAAACACTTGCAAATCAATTAGAAAAAAAATAAGACAATCTGGGACTGGGGTTGTGGCTCAGTGGTAGAACACTCGTCTGGCATGTATGAAGCATTTGGGTTCAATCCTCAGGACCACATAAAAATAAATAAAATAAAATGTTAACAAAACAAAACAAAACCAAGACAATCCAATTAAAATCCAGACAAAAGACTTTAGACACTTTAAAAATAAGGCTATCCAGGGGCTGGGGTTGTAGCTCAGTGTTTGAGCACTTGCCTCACTACGTGGGGCACTGGGTTCAATCCTCAGCACCATATAAAAAATAAATAAAATAAAGATATTGTGTCCTTAAAAAAAAAAAAGGTTATCTATATGGCAAACAAACTTTTTGTTATTGTACCAGGGACTGAATCCAGAACCCAGGGGTATTTTACCACTGAGCACATCCCAACCATTTTTAATTAAAAAAAAAATTGAGACAGGGTCTTACTAAGTTGCTTAGGGCTTCACTAAGTTGCCCAGGCAGGACTCACAAACTTGTGATCCTTCTGACTCAGCCCCCTGAGTCTCTGGGATTATAGGTGTGCACCACCACAACTATATGGCAAGCAAATTTTAAAAGGCTTTCAACCTCATTAGTTATCACAAAAATTGAAATTACAATAACTCATCTATCAGAATGGCTAAACTTTAAAAGACTGACTCAAAATTAACAATACTAAGTGTTGTTAAGAAAGTAGAACAAACAGAACTCTCATAAACTGCTGGTGGGAGCATGAATTGGTATAACTTCATTGGCAGCAGATATTATAGCTATCAGGTATAAACAGTTTGACACACACTTTTATGACCTAGCAAATCCACTTATAGGCACTTAACAAATATGTACACAACTATGTACCAAAAGATGAACAAAAATGTTTGCATTAGCTTTTTTTGTAGCTGAAAACAGGAAACAACCCAAGTATCCATTGAGAACAGAATGGATAAATTGTGGCACGTTCACACAACAGAATGTGACATGGGGCTGGGGATGTGGCTCAAGCGGTAGCGCGCTCGCCTGGCATGCGTGCGGCCCAGGTTCGATCCTCAGCACCACATACTAACAAAGATGTTGTGTCTGCCAAAAACTAAAAACAATAAATATTAAAATTCTCTCTCTCTCTCTCAAAAAACAAACAAACAAAGAATGTGACATGTTATGGTTTGGATCTGGATTATCTCTCCAAAGTCTCAGCTGTTGAAGGCTTGGTCCCCCATGCAGCAAAGTCCAGAGGTGGTACTTTTGCAAAGTGATTAGATCACAAGGGCTCTGCTCTGATCAGTGGAGTAATCCACGGATAATTAAATGGACTACTGGGAGGTGATGGAAATTGTATTCAGGTGGGGGATATGATTGGAGGGAATAGGTTATTAGGGGTATGCCTTTGGAGACTGTATCTTGGCCTTGATCCCTCTCCCTTCCTTCTGGCTGCCAAGAGTTAAGCAGTTTTCCTCAGCCATGTTCTTCTGCCGTGATGTTTCTGCCTTAGAGCCAGCCGGCAACGGACAGAAACCTCTAAAACCATAAGCCAAAAATGAACCTTCCCTACTTTCAGTTATTGTCAGGTCTTTTGGTTATAGGAATGAAAAGTTAACTAACACAACACAGAAGTGAAAATTAACAAACTACTAATACTGTTGTATTATAATGAACAAAACAATCCAGTCTTGAATATATAATGTAAAACTCTATTTATATGAAGTTCAAAAACTGGCACAACTGTTACCTAGGGTGAGGAAGGTCAGTTACTGACAGGGAACAGAAGGAGAGCTTCTAGGGCATTGGTCATTTTCTATTTTTTAAAAATATTTTTTCTAGTTGTTGATTGGCCCTTATTAGTTTTTTTTAAAGAATCTAATCTTTATTTTATTTTTTGATGTTGTTTATGTGGTACTGAGGATCAAACCCAGGGCCTCACCAGCACTAGGCAAACGCTCTACCACTGAACCACAATCCCAGCCCCTCATTTTCTATTTTTTGATCTGGATGGCAGTTAAAATGAATCTGTCTACTCTATAAAAATTCATTGAGTTATACAAATATGTTTTGTGTAATTT